GGAGGGAGGGAGGGAGAAAGGAAGAAAAGAAGGAAGAAAAACCAAAACAAATCAAAAAAGAGGGCTCTGTGGGTAAATGTACCTCCTACCAAGACTGACAACCAACGTTCATGTTTTTTTCTCTGTAGCCTTGGCTGTCCTGGATAGACCAGGTCCCGTGTAGACCAGGTTGGCCTCAAACTCTGCCTCTGCCCCCCTTCCGAGTTCTGATTAACAGTGAGCACCACCACTGTCCTGCAGTCAACTACCATCTATAGTGGGCTTTGGTCTTGTCTTAAACTCTTTTTTTTTTTTTAAATAAAGATTTATTATCTATACAGTGTTCTGTCAGCATGTATGCCTACAAGCCAGAAGAGGGCACCAGATCTCATTACAGATGGTTGTGAGCCACCATGTGGTTGCTGGGAATTGAACTCAGGACCTCTGGAGTGCATGGCTCTGTGCCATCTCTCCAGCCCTTGGCTCAAATTCTTTATACCTCAGATGGCCTATTTTCTGTTCTGTACTCCCAGATTCCTGCTCACCATGGCCAATTTTGTTGATAGATTTCTCTGGAGGGACCAAGAAATTTCCTGTCATACAAAAAAACAGACAAAGGTGAAGACCTGGAGTCCAGCTTCCCTGGCAGCTGGTCATGACTTTCTCCCAGACCCAAGAGGTAGCTCCCCTCATCCAGCCCCACCAGCCCTCATGCATCCAGAGCCCACTCCAAACCTTTCTTGTCAAAAACTCCTTTCTCAAAGAAGAATCGAATCTTGTCACCGCTGCTCAAGAAGTACTCTGTGCTGCCCTGTGGAGGGGACAGGAGAGGACTCTGTGTTTCTGTGGAGGGGACATGAGGAGGACTCTGTGTTCCCCTGTGGGGGGGGACATGAGGAGAACTCTGTGTTCCTCTGTGGAGGGGACAGGGAGAGGACTCTGTGTTTCCCTGGGGGGGGGGGGACACAAGGAGGACTCTGTGCTGCCCTGTGGAGGGGACAGGAGGAAGACTCTGTGTTCCTCTGTGGAGGAGACAGGTGGAGGACTCTGTGCTCCCCTGTGGGGGGGGACATGAGAAGGACTCAGTGCTCCCCTGTGGAAGGGGACATGAGGAGGACTCTGTGCTGCCCTGTGGGGGGGACATGAGGAGGACTCTGTGCTGCCCTGTGGAAGGGACATGAGGAGGACTCTGTGCTCCCCTGTGGAAGGGACAAGAGGAAGACTCTGTGCTCCCCTGTGGAGGGGACATGAGGAGAACACTGTGTTCCCCTGTGGAGGGGACATGAGGAGGACTCTGTGCTGCCCTGTGGGGGGGACATGAGGAGGACTCTGTGCTCCCCTGTGGGGGGGACATGAGGAGGACTCTGTGCTCCCCTTTGGGGGGGACATGAGGAGAACTCTGTGTTCCCCTGTGGAGGGGACATGAGGAGGACTCTGTGCTGCCCTGTGGAGGGGACAGGAGGAAGACTCTGTGCTCCCCTGTGGAGAGGACGGGGGGGGGGGAGGACTCTGTGCTCCTTTGTGGAGGGGACATGAGGACTAGATAATGTCTGGGGACAGAGATGGGCGTGACAAAGAGAGGCGTGGATACAGGTGCTGCCCACCCCCACGGGACTACAGATGCCACCCGGGATGGGGGGCTTCTCAAACACGATCACTGAGGTACAGACAATGGATTCCAGACTCTTAATGACTTCCAGAGATTGCTAGGAGACATTTCCTACCTACAGCCCACTACTGGGGGAAAAACTGATGAAATGAGTAGTTTATTCAAAGCCTTAGATGGTGACAAGGACTTAAATAGTTCAAAAGAATAATGAGCTGAAGCTCAGTGAGAATTGGCTTTGGTGGAAAAAAATTTACAAAATGCCTATGTGGTTGCACTTTGATTGGATTGCATTTTACCCTCTAAGAATCCCCTACACCCAGTCACTGAGCCGCCGCCGAGGACTCAGCTGCCTCCCCCTCGAGCCCCCTCGCTTCCCGACGCTCCGTCCCCCCGTCCCCCCCCCCCCCCCCCCCCCCCCCCCCCCCCCCCCCCCCCCCCCCCCCCCCCGCCCGCCTTCTCCCGCAGCCGCCTTCCGCAGGCCGTTTCCACCGAGGAAGAGGAAAAGGAATCGTATCGTATGTCCGCTATTCAGAACCTCCACTCTTTCGACCCCTTTGCTGATGCAAGTAAGGGTGATGACCTGCTTCCTGCTGGCACTGAGGATTATATCCATATAAGAATTCAACAGAGAAACGGTAGGAAGACCCTTACCACTGTCCAAGGGATCGCTGATGATTACGATAAAAAGAAACTAGTGAAGGCGTTTAAGAAGAAATTTGCCTGCAATGGTACTGTAATTGAGCATCCAGAATATGGAGAAGTAATTCAGCTACAGGGTGACCAGCGCAAGAACATATGCCAGTTCCTAATAGAGATTGGACTGGCTAAGGACAATCAGCTGAAGGTTCATGGGTTTTAAGTGCTTGTGACTCTGAAGCTTAAGTGAGGATTTCCTTGCAATGAGTAGAATTTCCCTCCTGTCCCTTGTCACAAGTTTAAAAACCTCACAGCTTGTATAATGTAACCATTTGGGGTCCGCTTTTAACTTGGACTAGTGTAACTCCTTCATGCAATAAACTGAAAAGAGCCATAAAAAAAAAAAGAATCCCCTACAGGAGTACTAATGTACAGCAAAGATATTCTCTTAGAATGGATCATTTTATCCTCTAAGAATCTCCTACAGGAGTACTAATGTACAGCAAAGATATTCTCTTAGAATGGATCATTTTACCACATAAACAGAGTAAAAGAATTAAAACTTATGTGGAAAAGGTCTCTGAGTTGATTCTAAAAGAAAAATTGAGACTTTATCAGATAGCAGAAATAGACCCAGCAGAAATTGTAGTACCCTTTACTAATGATGAAATTGAAAATAAACCTTGGCAAAGAGCGTGCAGTAATTTTTTGGGTGAGATTCACAACAAATATCTCAAAAGCAAAAGAAGTCAATTTATAAGAGAACTAGCTGGATCCTTCCTCACATTGTATGGGGAACCCCAATATTCTCAGGAGTCCCTACATTCTAAACTGATGCAAATATATCAGGAAAAGCAGGTTACAAATCAGAAAATTTAAGTAGAGTGGCTCAAAGCCCTTATGACTCTATCCAAAAATCAGAATTAATGCCATTCTCATGATATTAATGGATTTTTAAAAAATATTTACTTACTTATTATGTATACAATATTCTGTCTGTGTGTATGCCTGAAAGCCAGAAGAGGGCACCAGACCTCATTACAGATGGTTGTGGGCCACCATGTGGTTGCTGGGAATTGAACTCAGGACCTTTAGAAGAACAGGCAATGCTCTTAACTACTGAGCCACCTCTCCAGCCCGATATTAATGGATTTTATGAAACCTCTCAACATTGTTCCTGATTTGTAATACGCAGAAAGAGCTGTTTTGCATATTGAAACTGCTGAATTTACACCAGATGATACAGAATTCGCCTTATTATTTATTCAGTTACAAGAAATAATCAGGAATAGGAATCATCCCATATACATAACACAATCCAATCCCATACAGATTTGCCAGGTCCTCTAGCACAAGGTAATGAAGAAATTGATCAACTGTTGATAGAAAATGTGCTGGAGGCCTCAGAATTTCATTTAAAAAAATCATGTCAATAGCAAAGGTTTAAAAAAAGATTTTTCTGCCGGGCGGTGGTGGCGCACGCCTTTAATCCCAGCACTCGGGAGGCAGAGGCAGGCGGATCTCTGTGAGTTCGAGACCAGCCTGGTCTACAAGAGCTAGTTCCAGGACAGGCTCCAAAACCACAGAGAAACCCTGTCTCGAAAAACCAAAAAAAAAAAAAAAAAAAAAAAAAAAAAAAAAAGATTTTTCTATCACTTGGCAACAAGCCAAGGAAATTATAAGGAAATGTCCTACATGTTCCTTATAGAACTAAACACCACTTCCTGCAGGAAGTAACCCAAAGGGTATTTAAAGGAATGAAATCTGGCAGATAGGTGTTCCTTTTTGTAGAATTTGGGAAGCTAGAATATGTCCATCACACCATTGATACCTACTCAGGATTTTAATGGGTGACTGCTGTGGTTCTCTAAAGGCTGATTCAGTCATCACACATTTGCTAGAAGTTATAGACATCGTGGATATATCTGTACAGATAAAGACAGACAATGCTCCAGCATATGCCTTTAGTAAAATGAGACAGTTTTTTGCTTATTATAATATAAAGCATATTACAGGTATACCACATATTCCTATAGGACAGGAAGTTATAGAAAGATCAATATCAAAGGATATGTTAAGTAAACAGAAATAAATACCCCAGGAACAGATTACATAATGCTTTACTAACTTTGAATTTTCTAAATGCTAATGAGAAAGGAACAACAGCTATGGAGAGATATTGGATAGTAGAAAAAAAGCTAAGAATTAAATCAGTCAATATAAAAATGTGCTGACCTCAGAAACCAAGGCATGTGTTACAACACTGGGGAAGGGGTTTGCTTTTGTTTCCACAGGAGAAGAAAAGCTATGGATACCATCAAAATTGATAAAGATTAGATTTGGACAAGAAAGACCTCTTAATTAGAAGAGATGATAGTTGATCAAACAACATGACTGTTTAATCAAAATGAATTGAAAAATGAATGAAGTTTATGCCCTGGCAATGCTGAAGCATGCATGGACAGCCCGTTATATGGCTGTTGAACTTGTCCATATTGGGTTTCATGGTCTAAATTGATGAGGACGACTGACCAGGTCTCTTCCTCAAGAGGGCACCAGATCTTATTATAGATGGTTGTGAACCACCATGTGATTGCTGGGACTTGAACTCGGGACCCTTGAAAGAGCAGGCAGTGATCTTAACTGCTGAGCCATCTCTCCAGCTAAACTAGCCTATGAAACTAACAAATGCTCTATATTTGATCAGATACATCCTGTGAGAAGGGAACCTCCCCAAAATTAAGGTTGGAGAATGGCTTTGTTCTTGTCTTTTCAGGAGAGTGAACACATCCAGCTAAAGAATCCGAAGACCACGGGACAAATGAGACACCTGAAGAAAAAGGGCAAATCATCCAGAAAAAATTCACAAGAAAAAGAGTAAGTTGGCCTATTAGTGTATCATATTTCCAACAGGATAAAATTTTATAAATCTTCCCAAATATTTGTTTCTGCTGTTCTCTATAGACAGATAATGCAAATGTTCTTTTTGTAGTCCCAGTCTAATTGAAATTAAAGCTGGCTTTGGAGTAGGCGTGTGGCTCTCTCCTTCTCTAAACCCAAGGATGCTTATTAAAGTAAAATCCAAAATCTCTGCTTCATGTCAGAAGAGTCACCTTCACAGAAGAAAAAACAAGATTTTTTAAAAATATTTATTTATTTATTATGTATACAATTTCTACATGTATGCCTGCAGGCCAGAAGCAGGCACCAGACCTCATTACAGATGGTTGTGAGCCACCATGTGGTTGCTGGGAATTGAACTCAGGACCTTTGGAAGAGCAGGCAATGCTCTTAACCACTGAGCCATCTCTCCAGCCCGAAAAAACAAGATTTAAGGGCTATTATACTGCCACTAATCTCATAATCCCTTGGTTTTATTTTGACTCTTTTGTTTTTATGTGTATGAGTGTTTTGTCTGCATGTATATGTGTGCACCAGTTGCATCCCTGGTGCCTTCAGACGCCAGAAGAAGGCACAGGATTCCCTGGAACTAGAGTTACTGATGGTTGTAAGCTACCATGTGAGTGCTGGGAACCCCGGTCCCCCACAAGAACAACTGCACTTAACTGTTGAGCCATCTCTCTAGCTCCCAGCCAGCAACTTTTTTTTTTAAAGATTTATTTATTTATGTATGAGTGCTCTATCTGCATGTACACCTTTATGACAGAAGAGGGCATCAGAACCCTATGTAGGTGGTTGTGAGCCACCATGTGGTAGCTGGGAATTGAACTTAGGACCTCTGGAAGATCAGCCAATGCTCTTAGCCACTGAGCCATCTTTCCAGTCCCTTATTTTGACTCTTTAAAGCTTTTCTAAAGGTATTATCTCAAAACTTATAAGATAATACATTTTTTAAAACTTTTTGTCATGATATTAATGGTCATAATAGGATACTAACTAATCCTAGAATAAGCCTTACTAGGTTCCTGTACATGATTTCAGGAATTATATTTTTGTACTCTGGATATACATAACAAATATTGATCCTATAAACTCTTTGAGATCTTTTGCATATGACATTTAAAATGTTTAAGTTTTCTGCAGTGAATCAAGACCATGCCGAACAGAGAACTTTGAAGTCTCGAATAGGATTATGGGACCATACAACGATGATTCCACCAGGACTATGATAACACCACTAAGCTGGAAAACACCACCTAAAGATTGACTACAAACTGCTCAAGACAATTTCAAGGTGGCTAGCTGAGATGATCCAGCATCACAGACTACTCTAGATTGAGGCAGAGACCGGACAACAAATGATACGGCAACCTCTCCCAGGACTTGACAATTAACCCAAATTTTTCTTTTCAGAATCCTCTAAAGATGCCATCATCCCTAGACAGGGGAGAGTAATTTTAAGATCACGACGCCCACATTCCCAAGAGGTGGGGTGGGAGGGTTTTGGTTGTTTAATGGGCTATGGATATTTGTCATTGCTTAGAGGGGTTGGTAACAAATTATTATTGGTTATGGTCAAGGAAAAAGCTAAACAAAAGAGATTAGATTCAGGGTTCTTGTTCTGAAAAGAAAAAAGGGCGATATAGATATGATAGGATATAAAGGTAGATTATTGAGTCTACTGTGAAAAGAAAAAGGGGATACAGAAATAGGATAAAAAGGTTGAATCTACTTTTAAATCAAAAAAGCAACTACTTGGGATGGAGAGATGGCTCAGTGGTTAAGAGCATTGCCTGCTCTTCCAAAGGTCCTGAGTTCAATTCCCAGCAACCACATGGTGGCTCACAACCATATGTAATGAGATCTGGTGCCCTCTTCTGGCCTGCAGACATACACACAGACAGAATATTGTATACATAATAAATAAATAAATAAATATTTTTAAAAACAGCAACTACTTGTTTTAAACATTTTACATTGATATGGATTTTTGTAAATTGATACAAATTTAAGATGATTTTTTTTTTTTTGGTTTTTCGAGACAGGGTTTCTCTGTGGTTTTGGAGCCTGTCCTGGAACTAGCTCTTGTAGACCAGGCTGGCCTCTAACTCACAGAGATCCGCCTGCCTCTGCCTCCCTAGTGCTGGGATTAAAGATGTGCACTACCACCGCCCAGCTTACATTTCTAATCTTGTTCAAGGTATTGTACCTATACAACTCATTTAGCAATGTAATGCAAATTTCTAGTCTTTTAAAGTATCATTACCAAGTAATTCAGATATAAAGAAATGCAAGTTAGTAGTTAATTATTGCAGTCAAACTTGTAGTCATATTAGGTATGTTTTCAAGATCAAACAGAGATATATTTTAGATAGACAGGTCATCTTCAAACACTTCAGAGATCTGCAGGATATGGCATTTAGGATGTTTTAATAACATACGGGTTTTTTGTATGACAATGAGACATGTCTGTTCTTGGTATCAAAAAAACTCCACATGGAGTTTACTTTCTCTGTGGCAAAGGTAAGCCACTGGGCAAGAAACTACCTTGCTTCGACTGCTGACAGTATGCTGCCCAAATACAAGTAGGACACAAAAGAAAGTGACTGCCAAACTGTCAAGACAAGGTAGAACAGCCTTTAGAATGTCCCGCTTCACAGAAAATCTGTCAGATATGCTAGGCCTGCAGGCTGAAGATGGATGCCCCAACGCTGCAGAGGTGACTGTCCAGGCAGCCAGCTGCAGAGGTGACTGTCCAGGCAGCCAGCTGCAGAGGTGACTGACCAGGCAGCCAGCTGTTTTTGTCAATTCTCACATTTTTTGAAAGTCGTTTGCTTGCACTCCCTGATTACTCAGGTAATATTATTTCCTTCTCTGGTCTCTGATGAAGTTGAAGACTTTATAGTTATAGTTTCCCTTCTTACCAGATTCAGAAAAGAAGTTCACTAAAGAGGTATAAAGTATATAAGGTTGAAAGACATTAGAAGATAGTTTTGATAATGCAAGTTAGAATAGAAAGTGAATTAGGTACAACCTTTTAGACTCACTAAGATAAGAGATATATAAAGTATTTTTTCTCAATTTGTCAATTGCTAATGGAGCAGACATTGTTGATATATTTACTGCCTGTATATATTGTATATAGTTACTATATTTATCATATATAGTTTTTCTTATATTAATTATAACCTTTTTAAATTTTAGACAAAAAGGGGAAAGTGTGGTGATGTCTTGTTTGTACTCTAACAAAGCTTGCCTGAAGATCAGAAGATGGAGCCAGCCACTAGCTAACCATAGAGGTCTGGAGGTCTGTACAGGCAGACAGGACGTGCTATGGCTGGGTGGAGAGAGGGATATAAGGAGGGAGGAGACAGGAGCTCAAGCTCTTTTAGTCTGAGGATTTTGTAGAGGTAAGAAGTGGCTTTGGCTTGCTCCTTTGTCTCTCTGTTCTTTCAGAATTTACCCCAATGTCTGCCTCCAAGTTTTATTTATTTTTTTTCTTTTCTTTTTTTTTTTTTTTTTGATTTTTCGAGACAGGGTTTCTCCGTAGCTTTTTGGTTCCTATCCTGGAACTAGCTATGTAGACCAGGCTGGCCTCGAACCCACAGAGATCCACCTGCCTCTGCCTCCCGAGTGCTGGGATTAAAGGCGTGCGCCACCACCGCCCGGCTCCAAGTTTTATTTTTAAGACCAATTAGGATTCACGTTACAGCTACAAACTGAGATTTCCTGGTCACCTCTTTTTTTTTTTTTTAAGATTTTATTTATTTATTATGTATACAACATTCTTCCTCCCTGTATGCCTGCAGGCCAGAAGAGGGCGCCAGATCTCATTATAGATGGTTGTGAGCCACCATGTGGTTGCTGGGAATTGAACTTGGGTCCTCTGGAAGAACAGTCAATGCTCTTAACCACTGAGCCATCTCTCCAGCCCTCCTGGTCACCTCTTATTACAAACGCTCCTTGATTGACCATGGAGCTTTTGCAGGTAAATCTACATAAGCTGACAATCTTATACATCAAAAAAGCCAGCCAAGCCGGGCAGTGGTGGCGCACGCCTGTAATCCCAGTACTCGGGAGGCAGAGGCAGGCAGATCTCTGTGAGTTCGAGGCCAGCCTGGTCTACAAGAGCTAGTTCCAGGACAGGCTCCAAAGCTACAGAGAAACCCTGTCTCAAAAAAACAAACAAACAACAACAACAAAAAAAAAAAAAACCTTGGGGAAAATAAGGTAAAAAGCCATGAGCCTCGTGGTAGAACTTAGATAAGAAATATGGATTAATTTAAAATGTAAGAGTTACCTAGTAACCAGCAACCGGCCTGAGCTATCAGCTGAACATTTATAATTAATAATAACGATCTGTGTGGTTATTTGCTGAGATACAGGCCAGCAAGCCCTAAGAATCCACCTGTCTCCAGCTCCCCAGCACTGGGACTAGTGTGCACCCCAACTTTTCTATGTAAGTCTTAGGGACTGAACACAAGTCCTCACTCTTGTTTGGCAAGCAATTTAGCAACTGAGCCATCTCACCTAGCTCTCAAAAAAAAAAAAGCTTCTAATACATCCAAGCAGCGTTTCTCTATGTGTAGTCCTGGCTATCCTGGAACTCCCGCCGTAGACCAGGCTGGCCTCGAACTCAGAGATCCGCCTGCCTCTGCTGCCCGAGTGCTGGGATTAAAGGTGTGTGCCACCACACCACTGGCATCAGTTCTTACCGTGTATATAGCAAAATTGTCCTCCCAAATGGGCTCGTGTGTTGGAGGCTTGGTTCCCAGCTGGGGCGTCAGTGGACGGGAAGGGTACTAACTGTACTAGTCCACTGGGGAGCTCATGGCTGGGTGGGCTCTAAGGAGTCTGGACCTTGATGGAGGAAGTAGGTCACGGGGTGAGGCTTTGAAGGAAGGGTACATCTTGACACAGACCCTTCTTAGGTGTTCTCTGCTTCCCAGCTGCCCTGAGGTGAGCAGCTCTGCTCCATCATGACCTCCCTGCCACAAAGCCAAGTGACCATGGATTGAACCATCTGAAACAGCAAGCTCAACAAATCCATCCTCCTTCTGCTTGCCAGGTTTGGTCACAGCAAGAAGTCACTGTCACACCGCACAGTTGAACAGCTTTACCTAGCTTGAATGTCACACTAGCAGGGGGTTCAGCCTATTTTATCTGTTTAGTATCTAATATGACCTGTGGAGCCCTGAGCTCAAAGTGACAGATGGTTGTGGCAGGCAGATCTCTGGGAGTTCAAGGCCAGCCTGGTCTACAGAGTGAGTCCCAGGGCAGGCTCCAAAGCTACAGAGAAACCCTGTCTGGGAAAAAATGCACAGTTTTGCTGAAACTGTAAGGCTTCTTGGGAAAAAAAAGGTGGCTTGGTGATGAAGAGCACTGGCTGTTCTTCCCAAGAACCCTGGATCAGTTCTGGGTCAGTTGTAACAGCTCACTTTCTGCAGTTCACTCTCAGGGGATTCCTCTCACACTTATGCATGGTGTACAAGCATGCATGCAAGCAAAACCCATACACATGGAAAGAAAAGGATCTCGAGATCTTTTTTTGTTTTGTTTTGTTTTTTCTAGACCAGGTTTCTCTGTGTTCTTTGTGTAACAGCTCTAGTTCTCTTGGAACTCAATCTGTAGATCAGGCTGGCCTCGAACTCATAGAGATCCTTCTGCCTCTGCCTCCCCAGTGCTGGGATTAAAGGCATGTGCCACGACTGCCCAGCCACCGTACCCTTCTTTTTCTTCTTCTTCTTCTTTTTTTTTTTTTTTGGTTTTTTTGAGACAGGGTTTCTCTGTGGCTTTGGAGCCTGTCCTGGAACTAGCTCTGTAGACCAGGCTGGTCTCGAACTCACAGAGATCCGCCTGCCTCTGCCTCCTGATTGCTGGAACTAAAGGCCACCCTGGCCAGTGCTCTCTCTCCCCCTTCCCCTGTGCTGGGATTAAAGGCATGCGCCACCATCGCCCGGCTTCTTCCTTTTTTTGTTTGTTTTGTTTTGTTGTTTTTCAAGACTGGGTTTCTCTATGTAGCCCTGACTATCCTGGAACTCACTTTGTAGAGTAGGCTAGCCTCGAACTCAGAGATCCACCTACTTCTGCCTCCTGATTGCTGGAACTAAAGGCCACCCTGGCCAGTGCTCTCTCTCCTCTTCCCCCAATCCCGCTTCTAACATTAAAAAAAAAATTCCTAAGATTAAAAAAAATTATTTTATGTCTATTGATGTTTTGCCCACATGTATGTCTACAGAGGATATTGGGTCCCCGAGAAGTGGAAGTACAGCTGTTGTGAGCTGCCATGTAGGAACTGGAACTGAACCCAGGCAGAACCCAGGAAGAGCAGTCAGTGCTCTCAACCACCAAGCTATCTCTCCAACCCACCCTTTCTTCTTCCATTTTTCCTACCTCTGCTCTCTACTGATTGTTGGAGTCTTCTCAGAAGATAGTTGGGAGAGGGAACAAGATTCAGCCCCCTCACTCCTTAGAGTGTGTGTGCCCTTCCATTTGGGAAAAACCAAAAACACTTGTGATGTGTTTTCTGAAGACTCCACCCTCTTCTGGGGAAGGCAGCTTCTGGCTGCTGTAATTCTATTTATAAGCACCAGATGGCAGAAGCTCACTGGCATCAGTATCAGTGAACCCGGTTGCCTGGACCACTCAGAAATCCATACTAAGAAG